GGGATGTTGCCATTTAGTCTGGTTATGTGTATTTAGGCAAGGTATACATATAAAAGAAGAGAAAATTATATTCTTGGAAATCATCAGTTTATGGGACTTTAGCCAATTTGGTCCAATTTCACTACTGTGAAAAAATCTTCAACATTTAGTCCAAATTTAAAAATTCATTCTGGGATGTTGCCATTTAGTCTGGTTATGTGTATTTAGGCAAGGTATACATATAAAAGAAGAGAAAATTATATTCTTGGAAATCATCTGTTTATGGGACTTTAGCCAATTTGGTCCAATTTCAGTACTGTGAAAAAGTCTTCAAAATTAAGTCCAAATTTAAAAAATCATTCTGGGATGTTGCTATTAAGTCTGGTTATGTGTATTTAGGCAAGGTATACATATAAAAGAAGAGAAAAATATATTCTTGGAAATCATCAGTTTATGGGACTTTAGCCAATTTGGTCCAATTTCAGTACTGTGAAAAAACCTGTAAAATTCAGTCAAAATTTGAAAATGCAATCTTGGATGTTACCATTAAGTCTGGTTATGTGCATTTAGGCAAGGTATACATATAAAAGAAGAGACAATTATATTCTTGGAAATCATCAGTTTCTGGGACTTTAGCCAATTTGGTCCAATTTCAGTACTGTGAAAAAACCTGTAAAATTCAGTCAAAATTTGAAAACGCAATCTGGGATGTTGCCATTAAGTCTGGTTATGTGTATTTAGGCAAGGTATACATATAAAAGAAGAGACAATTATATTCTTGGAAATCATCAGTTTCTGGGACTTTAGCCAATTTGGTCCAATTTCAGTACTGTGAAAAAACCTGTAAAATTCAGTCAAAATTTGAAAACGCAATCTGGGATGTTGCCGTTAAATCTGGTTATGTGTATTTAGGCAAGGTATACCGATAAAAGAAGAGAAAAATATATTCTTGGAAATCATCAGTTTATGGGACTTTAGCCAATTTGGTCCAATTTTAATAATGTGAAAAAATCTTCAAAATTCAGTCAAACTTTGAAAATTCATTCTGGGATGTTGCCGTGAAGTCTGGTTATGTGTATTTAGGCAAGGTATACATATAAAAGAAGAGAAAATTATATTCTTGGAAATCATCAGTTTATGGGACTTTTGCCAATTTGGTCCAATTTCACTACTGAGAAAAAGTCTTCAAAATTCAGTCCAAATTTAAAAATTCATTCTGGGATGTTGCCATTAAGTCTGGTTATGTGTATTTAGGCAAGGTATACATATAAAAGAAGAGAAAATTATATTCTTGGAAATCATCAGTTTATGGGACTTTAGCCAATTTGGTCCAATTTCACTATTGTGAAAAAATCTTCAACATTTAGTCCAAATTTAAAAATTCATTCTGGGATGTTGCCATTTAGTCTGGTTATGTGTATTTAGGCAAGGTATACCGATAAAAGAAGAGAAAAATATATTCTTGGAAATCATCAGTTTATGGGACTTTAGCCAATTTGGTCCAATTTTAATAATGTGAAAAAATCTTCAAAATTCAGTCAAAATGTGAAATTTCATTTTATGATGGAGCAGTTGAATTTTTCAATGTATTTTAAGGAAAGAAACAAATAGAAAAAAGAATAAAAATAATATCCTTTGAAATCACCTCATTATTGGACTTTAGCCAATTTGGTCCAGTTTCAGTAATTTGGAAAAAAAATAATATTATCTCAGTCAAAATTTGAAAACTTTATCTGTGATGTTGACTTAAGTTGATTATGTGTATTTCAGCATAGAACATACGAAAAAGTAAAATCCTTTGAAATCATCAATTTTAGTATTTAAGCCAATGTGTTCCATATTTCAATTGGGGGTGGAGGGGAATGGGTTGGTTAGCTCAGTGGTTGGTGAGCCTGCCTTCAGCCACTTGTTTCATCAGGGCGCTCACTGAAGATCCAGAGTTTGATTCCCATCAGCAGCAGTGGTGAAATTAGGATGCAATGCTACATTGCGAATGCATGCTGCATAACACCCTCTGTCAGCCAGATACCGGCATTGTCCTCCAGGTCTTACTACATCACTTAAATACCATGGTGGTGTTGGTTCTCCTACATTAAATCTGGACGTCGTGAGATCAGTGAAATATTCTGGAAAGCCACATTCAAACCCAACTCACTCACTCCCTCACTTTATTTTCAATAATTTGGAAAAATCTTATGAAATAATATCCTTTGAAATAATCAAATCAGGTAATTTTGAGAAGTCAAATAAAGTGAGTTAAAATTGGAAACTTCATGCACATGTGCTCTTTAACCCATCAGGCAATAAACCTATATGTAGTCATGCCACACTGCTTTGCATATATGTATGTGGACATCCAACCTGGTGTGTGAGACTTACAATAGATTATCTTTCTATGTCATTTCAGAAACAAAGACAAATTTCAATTATAACTTTTATTACTTCACAAGAAATATCAACAGAAGAGTCCTTCACATACCAGTAAGCACTCATTACAATCCTTACTCAATCCTCACTTTCATTCATACACTAACTCTGTAACAAAAAATCTGACTTAAAATATACATTGAAGAAGAGTTCTATTTCGCCTAATGAAACCATCAATACATTTCATGTACATAATACATGCTCAAACAAAAGTAGATGAGGTACAAATTCGTCCATGTGATTGTGTTTATAATTCACATTTAATTGTGGCAGAACATCTGTTACAAAAAGGGTAGTTGGAGACACATGCAGAAAACTAAATGTGGAAATGTTTTTGGCCTTTGTTAAATACAGAGGACAAATACATGAACAAACATTCACAACCATTCATTCACTCACACATGAACACTATTGTTGCATCATAAAGAATTCATTGATCTTTAAATATTTTGTATTACTATTGCATGCAATGTATTCTCAAACAATTCTACCTTATTTTTATTTGAATAATATAATTAAAATAACAGAAAAATATTATCTGTTTTGACCCAGTAGAAGAAAATGATACCAAGTGAATAAATTCATGACAACTCTGTAAAATATATCACAAGCAAACAATCTAATAACTTCAAAGGACATACATGTAACAAAGTCAACTTTACACAGAATAAACCCATATAGTATAAATATGTTCAGGCCAATGTGATGTCCAATATCAGTTAATGGCAATGTATATTGAAGCCCCTGTAGTCAAGAAAATACCTCTACGTGACAATCATGTTTTGGTAAATTGATTCATTAAAACCAGATACAATGTTTTCAAGTTCTATAGACTTAGATATGGACACCAACCTGCAAAAACATGTTACAATCTGAGTGCAAGAACTATATATGCAAGATTTGATGTTGAACTTCCAGTGTTTTACTAACATTTACTAACTTTTTTAAGAACAGGTTTACTCAATTGTAAGTATTAATCAATGATGACATCAGCCAAAAGTATTGATAATAACCAGAAAATGGTTACTGCTATGCTTTTCAAATGAACAAACTGATGATCATATGATGATCAAATCACACCTTTTAGGAAATTTACATCTAAATATATTTTAGCAAAGTTTATTTTGACATTCAATGTAAACTGCTAATGTTATTAAACAAACACTGATAACAAGAGTCATGAGAATATGACACATCCCCCTGCAGCCTCACAATATATCACCAATCTCATAAATAAGTATAAAAAATAAAAAGTTATAAAAAATTGTCTATATTCAAACATATCCAAAGTCACATCAACAATATCTGACTGATTATTTTCCAATTTGTTTTGAAGATATCATTAATATTCTTTCTTCTTTTAAAGAAATTCAACTCAACTGAATGTAACTCAAACTTTATTCCAGAAAAAGTAACAACTTGAAACCTTAAAACATTGTTCAGTAGCAAAAGACAATTGTCCACTATCTGATTAATCATTCTGCATGTTTCATGAAAACATGTCTCAATGAACAAACTGATGATCATATGATGATCAAATCACACCTTTTAGGAAATTTACATCTAAATATATTTTAGCAAAGTTTATTTTGACATTCAATGTAAACTGCTAATGTTATTAAACAAACACTGATAACAAGAGTCATGAGAATATGACACATCCCCCTGCAGCCTCACAATATATCACCAATCTCATAAATAAGTATAAAAAATAAAAAGTTATAAAAAATTGTCTATATTCAAACATATCCAAAGTCACATCAACAATATCTGACTGATTATTTTCCAATTTGTTTTGAAGATATCATTAATATTCTTTCTTCTTTTAAAGAAATTCAACTCAACTGAATGTAACTCAAACTTTATTCCAGAAAAAGTAACAACTTGAAACCTTAAAACATTGTTCAGTAGCAAAAGACAATTGTCCACTATCTGATTAATCATTCTGCATGTTTCATGAAAACATGTCTCATAATTCTTAAATTTTGATCTTGAACAACACCCCACTCCATCTAAATCCAAGTTCAAATTGTTTCAATGTCAACAGACAGACTTTCAATAAATCCAGAAATAGCTAAAAGCACAAGTTTACTGCTATAATGATACACATGCCTTTTCTTTATGATCAGGTTAGTTACAAGGAGAACTGTTAAGATCTGTTTCTATAGTATACCCCTATTCTTTTTTCGATTATTGATTCACCAAAACATGCTACATCAAATAGTTTGGACATTCATAAACATGGATAAGTTTAACACACACAATGATCTGCACTAACATGGTTTTACTATATTCAACTGAAATATACATCAATTGGAGGAGACTGAGGCATGTTCTATACACATATGTGAATGATTTGTTTGTTTGTTTGTTGTTTAACGCCACACTCAGCAATATTCCAGCTATATGATGGCGGTCTGTAAAATAATCAAGTCTGGACCAGACAATCCAGTGATTGACATCATGAGCATCGATCTACGCATTGGGGATCGATGACATGTATCAACCAAGTCAGCGAGCCTGACCACCCGATCCTGTTAGTCGCCTTTTACAACAAGCATAGTCGCCTTTTACGGCAAGGATAATTGCTGAAGACCTGTTCTACCCTGGAATCTTCACGGGTCCATATGTGAATGAAAGAAAGGTACAGAGAACAACCAAACCACATCAAGGCATCAATGAGTTGGCTGCATTCATTAAAACAGTAACCCTTTCAAAGGAGCATCATAATTATGCAATTAAAGCTCTTTTGAATGCAATTCTGTCCCTTGACACTCTGGGTTGATTGAAGAGTAGGTTCTCCCTGTCAGTTTCTCAGCAAGGAATATGATTACTTCCTTAATGGCCACATACCGATGCAGTGCCATGCAGCCCTGTAATAAATTAGAGCATATTTATAACCAGACTCAATTTTAAGAATAAAATAAATATCTCCAGTTCCAGTTTCATAAATGTAAGTTGTAACTGGTATAATTGGAAATCATTTACTTGCCAAAAATTCAAAGAATTAGTTTTTTACAATTACAATGAATATATTTATTTTCAGTAGCTTCACTAGTTACATTGTACTTGATTATTACTTTACAAGACTATTGTCTCATTCTTTGGTGTCTCCATTTTCACAATACTAAATGTTTTTCCAATGTGGGATATATTCTAACAAAATATGACTGAATTTCTGTTCCCTTTCACCAAATTGGTTCGTTTCTGTTTAGCATTCATTCCAGTGAGTGTTTAATAATAATGTATCTAACAACATTGTACCTATAACTATGTACCAGAAATCAAACAAGCAAACCTGTACACATAATACATACTATTATATTTCTGGAACATGTCTGCTTCAGATAATACAACCTAAAATTGTCAATAATGAAATGTAACAGACATGTTTGTTTTCCTAACTGAAGGAGACAAACACGTATAGAGGATATTTGACTTTTCCTGTCGAATACAGTGTTTATCTCGTCGTGAAGTTGACTAGTTTGTATTTTCATGAGTCGCGTAGCCGCAAGTGTAAAAATTAAACTTTTCAACTTCACGAGATGACATAAACACGGTATTCGACAGGAAAAGTCAAATGTTCTATTTATTCTATTCTTCCTTATTGCTGAATTTTATGAAAACCGGACCGATGACTCGCAAATTCAGTACATTCACTGTGTCAGTCGTCTTGTTGCCTGGTGATACACATTAAGTCATCAGATTGTTTACATTTTTATTTTGATATCTAACTCAGTGTAGATGCAGGTTTTATTTTAACCGATAAATGCAGTATTTCACCGATAGAAATAGAATAATAAATTGTATTTTCTGTGCTTACTGTGTGTACTCCATTGGAAGTTCCGGCACAGTAAAGATCTGAGTCACTGGCTTAGTGTAAGGGCGACTGAAAGGAATCAAAGGTGGTCAGTGACATTAATGTGAAATTTAGACCATGAGCAATTTTCAATGTATCAATTTCATCTGTATGTCTAATCAAATGATTAGCTTCTTCTGTGTATATGCTTTAGATGTAAACTTTTCCTAATCACATTTAACTACTGCTCTGTTCTCATTCAATTTGGTAAACACTGGTAAATATATGCTCAAAACAACATGCATAAAACTGTGAATTTACACTGATTTTAAATTTGTGCCATTGGGGACTTTAGAAAAGAATCTACACTATTCACGATTATTCTTACCGTTTATCTCTCACTAGACGGCGTGTCAAGGATTGCCCGAGCCACTGAAGTATGTGCCCATACATCTGCAATTTGTTTTGCCATGTATAAAGTACAATTCACTGAGCAACTGATATCATCAACTATTTGCCATTTTTTCCCCCAAACATTTTACTTTAATCTTCATGAACACTTATAGTTTACCTATATGCAGAAAAGTGTATGTCAGAAACAAAAGAACTTGTACATTGTGTTTATTGCATAAGATGATGATTACTATCACAACATAAGAATTGTTACAGTCATGGGATTGAAACTTTTTCAACAATGAAATTTTGGAAATTTTCTCTACTAAATTGTCGACTTAGGACTTAATTGTGAACATTATCATTCTCATACTTTAATGAAATTTAGCTGTACATATGAATTCATTTTCTTACTTCAGCAGACACAAAATCTGACCCAAATCCAGCCTTGACTTCATGGTAGGGATACTTGGTAACAAACCAGTTGTGTCTCTCACCACGTCCTTGTCCCCACTGTAAAGACAAAAGTGCCTCAAGAATGCCACATTCATTTTATATTGACTGTTGTGTGATGTTGGTGTATATGTGACTGCTAACTTTCAATGTGATATACAGGAATATCAACAACAGTGTTATATAAAAGGAAAGGATACATACATTGAATTGGTTTATTTTGGCCAGATGTGATGTGCATTTTTAGGACTTCAGATCATTCTCCATGCCCATGTACTTTATAGAGTATATTACCTGAACTTACCCTCTTAATGTAACTGCAAACTTCTGATTTCTGTGAAGAAAAGTCAAACAGTCAATTCATTAGACAGTTTCCGCTTTAACTGTTTCAATTTCAACAAGCATATAGTCGACGAAGTCATCTATATTCCCTGCCAACCTTAACATGTAATGGTCCAAAACCAGGTAAACTAACCCAACATTTCTTTAAGCCCAAGTTCAAAGAGCTGCCATGAAAACCTTAAAATAAAGCGTTCTAAAATTGTTGAATAGCAAAAGGCACCAGTTCAGCATGTGTTTGATTCAAAATACTAAATGGTTTAGCAGTTATTTTCTGGAAATGAACCCTACCCTCATAGAACCTAAGTCCAACTTGTTGCCATAAAAATGTTAAAAAAAAAAAACATTCAAAAATTTCTAAATATTAAAAGGCACCATTTCAGAATGTGCCTGGTAGACATGCTAAGTTTTGTTAGAAAGTATTAAACGTTTTTTCAGTTATACTCCGCGAACCAACCCCACCCTCATATTAATGTTAAGTCCAACTTGTTGCCATGGAAACTAAAAAAAAATCAAAATTTATAAAGTCCTAAAACTAAAACAACAACTATTCACTCAGCCTGTCCATGATAGCAAAGACAAGGTACTGCAGGGTAGGAAACAGGGGGATCTGAGTTGAACTCATTAAGAAAGTCTAGCTGGCAGCTGAGTGTAGTTGGGAAGTCTGGATAGTGTTATGACAAATCAAACATAATTAATGTCAGAGATATGTATAATTAAGTTTAAGCATAAGATGTAGTCTGGCTGCAGAAACCATAACTCTGTGATGTTGCACCCTATAATTACTACCCCAATATGTGCAGCTGGTATGCGGATTCCGCAGCTAGATGTTCTACGGTTTCCGCAGCTAGTTGTACTACGGTTTCCACAGCTAGATGTACTATGTTTTTTGCAGCTAGATGTACTATGTTTTTTGCAGCTAGATGTACTATGGTTTCCGCAGCTAGATGTACTACGGTTTCCACACCTAGATGTACTACAATTTCCGCAGCTAGATGTACTATGTTTTTTGCAGCTAGATGTACTATGTTTTTTGCAGCTAGATGTACTACGGTTTCCGCAGCTAGATGTACTACAGTTTACGCAGCTAGATGTACTATGTTTTTTGCAGCTAGATGTACTATGTTTTTTGCAGCTAGATGTACTATGTTTTTTGCAGCTAGATGTACTATGGTTTCCGCAGCTAGATGTACTATGGTTTCTGCAGATACATGTGCAATGGTAATACATGGTAATATCTCACCTTGTTTTCAAAGAAATCAGCTGTGACTCGAAGGGAACCTGAATAGTAAATTAAAGTAATTTTAGTATTAACATGATTAATCCGTATTGAAGTGACAATCAGTGGTGAAAGTGGGAGTGTGGACGCTCCCAAAGTAGAATTTCTTTTAATCATTCCCACACCAACACTGAGTTTGGAACCATGATAAAAACCACTGAAACAGAGAGAAAAATGGTTGAACTTTGATATAAGAGAATGCTTGGTTACTTGAAAATTGTCTTTGAAGCTGGCCAATTTTGGCCTTTTCAGGCTAATTTTGTATCACATTTTCTCTTCAAAAGACTAATCTAGTCACATAATTGGCATAATTTTATGTTTTCAATGCAACCAGATGACATTTGCTTGGTTGTCCATCATGTTTCTGTAAATACCTGCAGAAATCACAAAGATTGGGGTTTACAGGCAAAAATTTGAACTGGGAGTGTGGACCAGGAGGCTCCCAATTTGGGGAGCCTAGGTGTCAAGTCTCAAGGGTCGGCTGAGAAAGCCCACGTGACAACTATTTTCATAACGTCTACGGTTCCTGAAAAATCCATTGAGTGATAGATAACAATGATCAATCAATCAACGTATTATCAGTTAACCCTTTGAACAAAGTATGTTGTTTTTACATCGGCACTTCACGCCATAGTATGAGTGTATTCCCTTTGTTTTAGTAAACCTAGACATGTAAACACTCACTTTTGACATATCCACTGTGCAAGATAAAAGTGATTAATCAATCAACATATTTTCTGTTAATCCTTTGATGACTAGGAACGATCCGTTGATTTACAAAAAAAAGTAAATCAACTGATCATTCACCTCTTGCTGGTCTGATATATGCATATTACATAACACACATTTCACCTCACTTCAAACCTGGATTTAGATTGAATAATTACCACAGACACAATAAATGCCAAATGGGAACCTTTGTCAGGTAATCTAAGTGATGCTACCACTAATTGTACCTGTAATAAATTCATTAACTGAGCATCAAGGGAATGACGACAAATACACAAGTGTAGGGTTATACGAGAAAACGTGGATGACAACAAGGGAGTAGCAATCGTATTATCGACGCAATCTGAAATCTGAGAATGCTTTCACTGCATGGATACCTTTTTTTATTATTAAACTATAACCATCTGGGGTATTTCCAAATGACGACATCCGATGAGCTCCGCCGTTCTTTTTGTCTGTTTGTTTAGGCTGAAGAAATTAATTAACATGCGCCCTTTGTCGAAATCTTTATAGATCACAGTTAACCAATCAGTGTTTATGCAAAAATGCGTAAAACAAATATTGCCTCCAGTCTCCAAGTTTATTTGCTGTCCTTGCAGACGGTAGACCAGTCTCTGGTCACGCTCAGTTGCGTTGCGTATCATCCGGGTACTCACAGGGGAAAAAACAATAACAAAGGCAACAACCAGTCCGGGGAATTGTGTTAGATCAGTGCCCCTTTAAATGTAGTTCACTGTAACAATATTCATTGTTAAAAAATATACAATATTCAGCCATAAGGCCTATGAGACACCTAAGACAATAATATTTAGATGCACTTCATAAGCATACTCATTGGGAAAATAAAATAAAAGCACATAAAACATAGGTGTCATTTTCCCGTGGTTTCAACACTAAAGTGTTCTCATTTTGGTTTTAATAAAAGAATGTTAGATTATGAATACAAAATGCCATTTAGAAAGTGGTCAAATGTAACTAATGTTATATTTGGGATAACACTTTCTGAGTAAAGTACAGATTCTAGTACTTTTAGTACTTTTGGGGGGTTGAGTCCCGTGCAGGATTCGAACCCACACCTGCCAGGGTGAGGCACCTAATCGCCAGCACACAAAGTCAGCCACTCAGCCACCGAGGCTTCCACAAAAATGAAAGTCCGACAACTTACTAGAATCTGTACTTTACTAAGAAAGTGTTATCCCAAATATAACATTAGTTACAATGTTAGATTAGCTAGGTATATGATCTTGAATGTGATGTCCTGATGGAAAAACAAATGTTTAATTAAACACATATTTTCTTTTCATTGAGAATATTATGCCTAATTGATAAAGCTTGAATATTTGATACTTATAAAGAAATTTACAGTGCTTGATCTCTGTGAACTGGCACAAATGAAATAACTTTCTGGTCACCCCTTGTCAGAGGCCATTAAACACTTTACAGGGGTAGAAACTAACAGTTTTAGTCCACTAGTCCTTGATAACAAGTAGCAAAAGCCATATAAACGGCAAATTTCTACTAGTCCTTATGATACCTTAACCATTGGGCAGTTTGGCAAGAACTACAGGACTAGTGCCAATTTCTAACGCTGCTTTATGTCAATTATCTCTCACTCATAATCATTAAAATCAGGGTATTTCAGCATATCAAAACTTGGGTGTTTGAAAATTTAATCTTATTATATGCAAAGTAGTTAAATACTGTGTTTTCTCAGACAAAAAGTGATATTTTCACTGCAGTGAAATATAATTTTTCTCGTCACTGCACTGAATTCAATTGTGTGATATCACTGCTATACAGCAAGTACAATGGCATGATGACACCGAAACAATCACATGACATCACTTGAACAATTTCGTGATGTCACTGACAATGATAAGACGTTGCAACAAGATGCGATGTTGGGAAAATTTGTACTGTGATCAGCACATTTGAATGTGTAATTTTCATAAAAATAGCATATAATATAAAGGACATTGCGAAACTTGAAATATCCTCTATTATTGTCAGAATCATAAGAAGAAGCTGTACACCAATTCTGAAGGCAATGACTGGTTAATGACAAAGTAATTTGAAAAAACTATTATTTCTTCTACAAGCATAGCTAAAAGCTGGTGTCATAGCAGCCATACTGAATTTTGTTTTAAGGCATACTATATTTTTAAAGTGGAAAGCCCACATCCTTTTAGAAAAGATATAATAAATACAATCCCTGATAAACCAAGATGATTTCCAGAAAGAAAAAAAGCTTGACATGACCATTAACAAATTTTAAACTGGTAGACATCATTAATGACCAAGAATCTAGCCAAACTGCAATTCTTTTTCAAACAACCATGAGCGTTGCCTTCCCATTTTGCCTACTGGTTAAACAAACACACGATACAGTTGAGTAAATGCTAATTACCACCGGTCACCCCTCCTGACTAAGTTAGTTAACATGTCTAAAGGTAGACAGATTAGGAATAGAATCATTGACAAATGTAGGTTCTCACTTGTACGTACATGTATAAACATGCATAAAGAAATGCAAGAATACATGTAATGCAGGAGTACAATCAATATATTTCTATGTAGCTTCAAATGAATGTACATGTATGTAATTTCCACACACCATTTTAATGATGCCATTATGTTTTTTATGAATCATTTGCCTATGACCGGATGTTGTATTTTTAGTAACCCATTATGTATAGTTTGTTTGTTTGTGCCATAATAACAAAATAAGTTTCTTTTTCTTCTGATAATTTTTATGCTCATCATCATAAATGGTTTGTTTCCAGCTTTACAACAACATATTTCACTGATGGTATTATTATTATTATTTTTTATGCTAAGAGAACATAATTACAAATGTACTAAGTTGTGTGCATTTTACCTACATAACTTGTTTTTATACATTTTCATAATGTGTTACCTTCAAAATGTTCACAACACTACATAAAATGTAATCATGAAGACACGACCTTGTTTCATGATGTTATCAGTAGGAGACCATTTCTCTATAAATTGTCATTGTGTCAGTGAAGTGAATGTTTAACATTTTATTTTCACAATATTCCATGTAAGTGGTCTTATTCTACTTTCTAGACCAGTTCATTTTCACATGGGTAAGCTAAGTTTATTACATATTTGTCAGTAGGCATAATGGCAGTGAAACCCATCAACATCCTGCTATGACCAACATATTGATTTTTTTCAAAATCAAAATCCATCTTTGTTGTGGAGAAACATATCATAACTGTACTTTCAAACTCTGGAATTTTGAAAGTTAGTAGATTTTGAGAAGATAAGTGTGGCGAGATAAGTGTCTAGCTGAAATATAAAGAGGATAGTTTCAAAACCTTACTTTGTTGGTGCCAGACCCATAGGAACAGACGATGGCCTAATCCCCATAACAAAAGCTCACTTTAATGTTGTCAAGGTGAGCTTAAAATGCAATGAAATCATACTTTATTCGATGTTCTACTGAAATGAAAGTGATACTTAAACTTTGTACTGCCAGTATTAGCATAATTTTTTCACAAATGAAGAAGCCATATTCAAAGAATATCTTTCTATCACTTATCTGTCTCTTCACTGTAGGATACAAGATGTTCTCAGATGTGGATGTTGTTGCTCCTGAATTACATATTGAAGATGTCATGACGTTTAATACAGCACTTAACCAGCTGTAATATTGGAACATGATTCAATTCAACACATGTCCAACCACTACAACATGGAGAACTTCTGCATTACTATCGGGAAGCTTCTGAATGTGGACAAATCTGTTCCATCAACATGAGGAAACCTGAAATGACAAAAATAAAGTATGTGATGCAGGACCAAATTAGCTAAAATCCCAAAAATTGATGATTCCAATGGATTTTCTTTTCTTTTTTAATACATACTCCTCACTTCAATACACATAACCAGACAAAACTGCAACATTTCAGATTGAATTTTTAAATTTTGCCTAAATTTTAAAGATTTCTTCCAAATTACTGAAACTGGACCAAATTGGGGAAAGTCCTATAAACTGATGATTTCCAAGAATATAATTTTCTCTTCTTTTATATGTATACTTTGCCTAAATACACATAACCAGACTTAATGGCAACATCCCAGAATGAATTTTTAAATTTTGACTGTATTTTGAAGATTTTTTCACAGTACTGAAATTGGACCAAATTGGCTAAAGTCCCATAAACAGATGATTTCCAAGAATATAATTTTCTCTTCTTTTATATGTATACCTTGCCTAAATACACATAACCAGACTTAATGGCAACATCCCAGAATGAATTTTTAAATTTGGACTAAATTTTGAAGATTTTTTCACAGTACTGAAATTGGACCAAATTGGCTAAAGTCCCGTAAACTGATGATTTCCAAGAATATATTTTTCTCTTCTTTTATATGTATATCTTGCCTAAATACACATAACCAGACTTAATGGCAACATTCCAGAATGAATTTTTAAATTTTGACTGAATTTTACAGATTTTTTCACAGTACTGAAATTGGACCAAATTGGCGAAAGTCCCACAAACAGATGATTTCCAAGAATATATTTTTCTCTTCTTTTATATGTATACCTTGCCTAAATACACACAACCAGACTAAATGGCAACATCCCAGATTGCATTTTCAAATTTTGACTGAATTTTACAGATTTTTTCACAGTACTGAAATTGGACCAAATTGGCTAAAGTCCCATAAACAGATGATTTCCAAGAATATATATTTCTCTTCTTTTATATGTATACCTTGCCTAAATACACATAACCAGACTTAATGGCAACATCCCAGAATGAATTTTTAAATTTTGACTGAATTTTGAAGATTTTTTCACGGTACTGAAATTGGACCAAATTGGCTAAAGTCCCATAAACTGATGATTTCCAAAAATATATATTTCTCTTCTTTTATATGTATATCTTGCCTAAATACACATAACCAGACTTAATGGCAACATACCAGAATGAATTTTTAAATTTGGACTGAATTTTGAAGATTTGTTCACAGTATTGAAATTGGACCAAATTGGCTAAAGTCCCATAAACTGATCATTTCCAAGAATATATATTTCTCTTCTTTTATATGTATACCTTGCCTAAATACACATAACCTGACTAAACGGCAACATCCCAGAATGAATTTTCAAATTTTGACTGAATTTTACAGGTTTTTTCACAGTACTGAAATTGGACCAAATTGGCTAAAGTCCCATAAACTGATGATTTCCAAGAATATATTTTTCTCTTCTTTTATATGTATACCTTGCCTAAATACACATAACCTGACTTAATGGCAACATCCCAGAATGAATTTTTAAGTTTGGACTGAATTTTACAGATTGATTCCAAATTACTGAAACTGGACCAAATTGGCTAAAGTCCAATAATGAGGTGATTTCAATGGATATAATTTTTATTCTTTTTTTTTCTATTTGTTTCTTGCCTTAAAATACATTGTAAGACTAAACTGCTCCATCAAAAAATGAAATTTCAATTTTTAACTGAATTTTGAAGATTTTTTCACAGTAATGAAATTGGACCAAATTGGCTAAAGTCCCATAAACTGATGATTTCAAAGGATATAATATTTTCTTCTTTTATGTTTATACCTTGCCTAAATACACATAACCAGACTAAACGGCAACATCCCAGATTGCATTTTCAAATTTTGACTGAATTTTAGAGATTTTTTCACAGTACTGAAATTGGACCAAAGTTGCTAAAGTCCCATAAACTGATGATTTCAAAGGATATAATTTTCTCTTCTTTTATGTTTATACCTTGCCTAAATACACATAACCAGACTAAACGGCAACATCCCAGAATGAATTTTCTGCATTACTGTGGGGAAACTTCTGAATGCGGACGAATCTGTTCTATTCACATGGAGAAACCTGAAATGAAAAAAATAAAGTATGTGATGCTAAAATCCCATAAATTGATGAGTCCAATGGATATTTTGTCTTTTTTAATACATACCCCTCGCTTAAATACACATCATCAGACAGAACTGCAACATTTGAACTTGAATTTTTAAATTTTGACTGAATTTTAAAGATATTTTCCAAATTACTGAAACTGGACCAAATTGGCTAAAGTCCCATAAACTGAATAGTTCAAGGGATATTATTTTTCCTTTTTTCCTATTCATTCGTTGCCTTAAAACACATCATGAGACATAACAGCTACATCACAGATTGAATTATCAAATTGGGACTGAATTTAAAAATATTTCCCAAATTTCTGAAATTGGATCAAATTGTCTAAAGTCCCATTAATTGGTGATATTAGGATATTATTTTTCCTTCTTTTATATATCCGTGCCTAAATACACATCACCAGACAAAACAGCAACATCCGAGATTGAATTTTTAAATTTTGACTGAATTTTAAAAAGTGGACCAAATTGGCTCAAGTCCAATAATGAGATGATTTATAAAGGATATTATTTTTCTTTTTGCTACTTGCCTTAAAATACACCATCAGGCTAAACTGCTCCATCCTAAAATGAAATTTCAGATTTTGACTTCATTTTACAGGTTTTTCTAAAGTACTTGCTATTATATTGTTAAATATTGAATGATAGAAACGTTTTTTAAACTGAATGACGGTATATTTTTGTATTGTCACATCATTTATTTCATCAAGAAAAAAATTGAATCAATAAACGTAAGATCATTTTCAGCAGGTTGTGCTCAGTGATGATGAGTGGGGCTTGCAAAAAAAAGCTGCTTTTTGAAAAAATAATTGTAACAGCGGTACTCGTCTCAAAGATAAGGGAGTACTTGTTGGGTTAGAAGGGATTTATTTTCAATGGGCGTAGAGTGAGAACTTCACGATAGTCCGGATCTGCCCTAAAACATACATAATTTGATATAAATATCATGGGTATGGACAGTATAAAGGCACAAGATAACAACAATAATAATAATACATTTAGATCTATAGTTACTTACTTTTGGCATATATATTGGAACAAATCCTTCCAGATAAAACAAAGTACAGTCTATACATAGTTAATCATGCATACCTTGTCTCAGGGACGCAGGCTGGAACCTCCTTTATTGATGTACAGTGAATAGCCCTGCACAAATGAGTATACTACATATAGATATATTACATATCCACCGTTACACTAGTGTGTATGAAATACAAGCAAAATAAATTCTACAAAAGACTATACATATACATGTATCACTTCTAACCAGTTTATATCTATTTTATAAAATGTACACTTGGCTATTACCTCAGTCAAATACACAGTTAGGGTAAAAGGTAAAATAAATTCCTACGTGCACAAAATAAGTCAACAGCACAATATGTCTACTGAACAGTAAACAGACACATGTCTAATGTCACACAAAAACATTGTTATTAACTCTGAACAGACAAGCTATGTTAGATCTACGTAGCTGAGGAAAATGACAATAGGACATTTCTTGGAAAATCTCTGATGTTTAGAATTTTCAATAGGACATTCCCATAGACTGCTGTATAATTTCTACAAAATCAATGGGACATTTGTGACAATGGGTAGGCAAATATCCTAAATATTGGACGATCTGTATCACTGGTAACGTTACTTGAAGGCTTGTTGCAAGCGAGATTTCGTACAGTTCAAACCTCGTGACACTGAAAGGGCCTTGATCTAATCAGTGTGTGAGGACGCCTGGCGTGCTAAATAAGAAACAGACCTTTACTATCTGGTCATAAGTTTACAACATTCACAGGCTTCGTAGGACAGGTTAAAATCAAACAATGCGCTATTGAAAAAGCATAAACAAATATAGATCTACTACCTTATGCCAGACGGCTCCTTCGCATTATCAAGGGAGGTAACTCTTAATACGTTTTGCTGCCCACTATCAATGTTCTCTTTGCGACACATGAATGGTTTCATAGCTGGGTAATACTTTAGAATGTTGGAACATCATTGGCCCAACATTGTTGTATATTTGTAAGAGTCTGATATCGCAAATAAAATTTATTCTACAATATTAACACGTAATTTCCATTTTTTTTCTTTGTTCGTCGAAAAACTTCTCACAGTTTTGTATCAACTGGTAAAGTGGCCCGCAGAAAGTGGGTTGAAATAAAATTGTGGATCGGTTAGTCAAAATGGGCCTAGTCAAAACGGGCCGTTACAAACGTCCGTATTCCCCATCTGCATAGGGCGACAGATCCATAACGAGATACCTGTATTTTTTCCTACTCACAGCATCTTGGAAGGAATCCGAAAAATATTTCGCTTGACCCGGAAATATTTGTGAAGCTAAAATGTTGTATTCGTGTGCCGAACGTGGGTTGGACAACAGCACGAAGTAATGAGTGTTTAAAGACATGGTTCTGTTACACTCTCCTTTGGGATAGGCCGATTGCTGTATGTTTATGACGGAAATCCCGAGGTGTTGGGATAAAGTACTGTAGAGACGTAAGAATAACTGATTTTTACACACTTGCTCCATATAATCATTGACGACCAGCAAACAGTTCTTGTCAGACTCCAAAGAATACGATTTTAGTTCATCTTCTGTTGGTAGAGAATCCCGAAATCGAATGTTGTTGTTGACAGATCTCTCCATGTCACTGTACACATCTTGCCAAACAGCGTAACAGTAAATAATGAGGTTTGGTGCTGGGTCGAACATGCTATTGACTTCTTTTAGCAGTTGTGCAACCCAAAATGTTTTACCGCTCGATGACCCGCCAACCACTGATATGGTAGTAGGGGTTTGAAAAGGCAACAGACATTTCAATTCTTCTTCCATGGTGATGATATGTCTTGGTCACTCTTTACCATAGAACTGTTTTTGATAGGCTACTCACACAGGTATTTATACACAACATGACACAATGAGGACTAAAACTGATGTTTTATTGACTTCTACCACAGCATATAGACATGAAACAAAGCATTTCACTAACTACATTCCCATTTCATATGATTATCTTGTACAAGACTCATGAATATGGCGTGAACACGAATCTGTACAATATCTAAAATGGCGACAAACAAATGCGGAAACGTATTCATCGTTGATTAAATGATCATTTGTATCGAACTGCTGTACAATATCATCCATGCGTAAATTGGATTTGAATTTACATAACAGATAATACAATGTAAACAATCCGCATGTATCAGAATTTGAAGATTGTAATTGCTTACTAATCTCAGACTTCAAATAGTGATCGAATACTTTATCCACGGGTCGTTCTGATAAAGAATCGAACATTTCTGCTTTATTTCCTTTGAAATACATGGCGATCCAGTGACGACCTTCTCGTGTGCTAGTCTCTGTGTTGACAATGAGTCCCATACCCTTGGCACGCTGGCTAGGTGTCAGAGTGGGCAAAGTATCTTTGGCAAAAACACCTATGACATGAGATTGTAAACATGGACGACTTAAAATTAAACGGGTTGCCTGTATAGCTGCCATTTAGACTCGAACTGTCCACCAATCCGATGACGTATCTGTTGGCCACGGGGTTAGAGACGTTGTCTATGCAGTGAGTCTGCTGCGTGGTGGGGATGCTGGTGACCTTGACCTCATTTTTCGTATACGGGTATAGAGCGTTCGTCTTTTGGAACAGCGTGTTGTGAGCCAAGATCAGGGCGGGGTTGACTTTGACTTTGCACACCTGCAGGTAGGCATCCAAGATCTGAACTTTGAATTCGTGCTCGGTCACGCTGCTTATCAAGCAGAATTTAGGATTCGATCTGTACATCTTCAATGTCAGGTCCACCTCATTCAGCAGGTACCGGTTCATGTCGATGATATCTTCGTAGATGGGTCCCGACATGGTCAGTACTTGCTGTCCGCTATGTAGGAGGCTGTCGATGACATTCCGCCGTTGATGGATCCAGTGACGTCGCTGCTCTCCAGGTCGGAGTTTTGTTCGGCTACGTCCTTGTAGAACAGCTGAGCTGTCAACTGAGTGGTCTTTGTCTCGGCTCCGTACTCCAACAGGGTCTTCATCATACTTTTGTAAGCGTAATGGTTGTTGGTGGAAGACACCAGCTGATTCTGCAGGTAGACCGTCACTTGAGAAAAGAGAGACTGCAAAAACAGGTTCACGGGGGCCACGTTTTCCTCATTCGCCAATGCCGTACCGTCCGTTTGAGTGACTTTGACATTGAGGTGCAGACGGGTGCGCTTTAGATCGACGTAGTCGCCTCCGGAATTGGACAAGTGAAATTCCAAAGGCGTGGAATCGTTGATTTGGCTCAGAGGACGCACGTTGACGAAGTAATGTTTCTGAACGCTGGTTTGATAGGGATGCAGAGTGAAGAGATTTAACGATTCGGGAACCAGTTCATCGAATTCTTTGTCGTTCAACAGGGCCATGATTTAACTAAAGATGTCGTTTTCTTTCACTGGGGTACACTTGAGCACTTTAGCCATCTTGGAAGGTGCGTTGATGTTGTCAGTCCGACGTATCTTTTTGGTTGTGACGCACTTAGATCCCGCCTTGCGTTTTAAAGCCTTTTCTCTTTTGCCATGTGCTTCTGCTCTCTCTACTTCACTTTGGGATTCGGATGTCATTTGGAGAGTGACCTTAGTTGGAGGATCTGCCTTTTGTTGCTGTGTTGCCTGTCGATGAACTGGAATCACCATCCTTTGCATCTTCCCATTAACCAGTCTGGAGGATGACCTTGTCGCGTGTTTGTCAAAGTAATGTTTAAACTTGGCGTAGTCGGGGAAATACAATGGGCGCGAAGAATCCATGTTTACTCCACAAAAGGATAACGTCTTTAGTGAAGTGTGGCGTAGGTCTCCTCCGTTTAGAATGACGGTGTAGAGATACTCCCCGACTTTAAATACAGCTCAATATTTTCGGTTTCTTTTAATTTGACACGAATGGTAAATTCACTACCAAACGTATAGGTAGGCCCCTGTCTCAGATCGATGCGTCTCAATAAGGCCAGTTGAGTTTCCCCTACCAACGAGCTGTCACATAAGTTACATTACACGTCCACGTAGGGGTCACCACTGGGGATTTTTTTCGGATCCAGCTTTCCAAAATTGAGCTAGACTAAAGACACCACCCAGAATCCGTCAAGGACTAACCTTTGATTTAATTTGACTCGAAAATCATAGGGTGAATTCTCAGGAAAGGAGGTTGTTTTGGAGTCTGAGCTTTTGAGAAAAATGTACTTTTCCATCAACAGAGGTCTTTCAGTTCGCTCTCTTCTATGTAGGAATCAAAGGATCTGGGCCACCCTAGCCAACGCACTAGAACATGGGTCTTGCCTTTCACCTTTTTTCTTTTCAGAATTTTGTCGACTTGCCACAGCACATCACCCTCTTTCTCGACCTTCTGTAGTTCGTTCGCGTAAAAGCTACCTATCAAGGGTTCGTCGTGGAAATCTTTCAGCTTGTACTGAGGGAACGTTTGCTTCTTGTAACGTTGAGCCACTTTAAACAGTTCTTCCGTCCACTTGAGATTGAGTTCCTTGGTGAAAGGTTTCCTGAGGTATGAGATGCCAACCAGGTCGCCCACTCAAGTATTTCTTGATGTTGGGTTTGACTTTTCTCAGAGGTTCCAGATAGAGGTAATCCCACACTTTCACTTCGTTGGTTTTATCGACGTCTGCAGGAGAGAGATGAGGCAGAGACGAATGAAGGGTGTAATTATAATTGGATACTAAATCCGCCAGAACGTCCAGATAACGTTTGGTGTTATTGTGGGTCATGTATCTGGTGATCAGTGATTTCATTGTTCTGTTAAAACGTTCAACGTAATTACTTTTGTTGTTTTCATTGCGAGCTATGGTGAGTTTTATCTTTTGTTTTTCTAAAAACGTCTTGAACGCCCCCTTAAATTCGCTTCCGCCATCTACTCTCACCTTTCCGGGACGTCGCTGTTCGAGGATTTGTTTGAAAGCTTTCAAGACGGTTTCGGGTTTCTTATTGTCTAACGGAAGGGCGAATGCAAAGCGGCTCAATATGTCGATGGCCACAAGCAAGTATCTCACACCATCGTTCCTCTTCGTAAACCTAGACAGGTCGGCCAAATCCACGTCAAACATTTCGTCGATAGAATTCACTCATGACTTTCATTCGTTTGAAACGGTATCTGACGAGTTTGTGTAAACTGTAAGCATCTTGATTGTTGACAAACCGTCTGACACTGCTCGCTGGAACTTTCAATTGACCTTTTAACACCTTTTTGAGTTTACTCGGACCCAAAAACGCGCTCGGATTTCTGGGAGTGAAATAATAATCTTCCAGTACTTTGTCAGAAGTTATCTCTCGAGAGCTCATCGTCTAATGATAGAATATAATGGATGATGTTTCGTTTTATATCATTGTTGTTGTGCGTCTGTGTGTGTCTGTTCGCAGGTACCAGGCCGAAGCTCGCAGGTTTCACTGCATCACATAACCACATTGGTGATGCAGGCTTTTCCTCCTGCAGCCGTAAACCCTGCCGCCATGGTATAACGGAAAACAATTGTTGAAAACGGCATTAAACCCTAACTCACTCACTCACTCGCTCACTATGTGTGACTGAAGATGAAATACAAACAAAATACAAAATTTCAACATTGATTTTTATTATCAATATCATAATTAAAATAAACAAACAAAACATTCATTCAATAAGTCCCAAGAAAAAAACCATTTCACATTCTTTTGTCTAACTTTAACATTTTCTCGACGCGTTCTTTCAATCCCTCCTTCCATTGAGACGTTTTAAATTGAGAGTCAAGATAGTCCTTGCATCGATACGGGACCAAGTTAAAGTCCCTCACATCTCGAAAACTCGGGTCTTCTAGCAGGAGTTTTCTCCAGCTTTCGTACACCTCCCCATCGTCTACGTCGGATAATGTCATGTTAAAGTATTTCTCCACCAGTTGTTGTTCAGACATGTCGCAGATGTGGTCCCATTCACCTTCTGCATCGAACATGCACCCGAAACACAA